ATATATATATAATCTGTTGAGTCCACTGTGATACATTATGTACATGTGTTTAGGGCTTACCTCTTGCTTGATATTGGATATCTTATTGGATATTGACTCTTGTGAAAGAAGTTATAAAGGAGCTTATCCCTGGAGGAGACTGATTCTTTCTCCATCAGAAGCCATTAATTCTTAATACTCTGTATTGACGTGTCCCCACATTTTAAATGGGTTGCCATAATGATAATATGGATAAATATGAGTAAAGCTTTTAGGAAGAATATACAGGATACAGTAAATGAGTCCAAGGCCAACCTGGGCTGAAATTTAGACCTTGTTCCAACCAAATAAAAAGGAAGAACAAACTATGAAAAACACCAGTGGTAAAGCTTTGCCGATAGAAAAAAATCCTGATTGAAGTGAAAATGTAACAAACTGTGTACACACAATAGAAGTCTAAGCCAAGGAGAAATTAATTAATTAAAAGATTGATAGGAGCTGGGCATGGTGGCACATGCCTGTAGTCCCAGCACTTAGGAGGCAGGCGGATCTCTGTGAGTTTGAGGCCAGCCTGGTCTACACAGTGAGTTCCAGGACAGCTTGGGCTACAGGGAGACCCTGTACCAAAAAAGACAAAATCAAACAAACAAACAAACAAAAAATTGATATGAAAAAACTGCAGTTGAACAATAGATAAAGAAATTAACATGAGACACAAGTAAACTCAGTTGTATACTTAAACTAATATTAAAGAAGACTTCAGACAAAACTAAACAACTGTAATATTAGAAGAGGTAATAAGAATTATCCTGAATTCATACATATGTGAAATTTCAGATTACAATGAGTCTGAAGCATCCTAAGTAAAAGAAAATAGAAATTCAAATACATTTCAATAAAACTTAAGCTCAAAGATGAAGAAATTGTGTTAACAATAGAGAAAAGATTAGCTACCAAAGAATGTGTTGACTGAGAGGGTTAACAGTGAATGGAGACAGTGTGGAATAAAATCTAAGTGCTGAAAGAGAAGAGCAATTATCTTAGAATTTTATATCCACACTAAACTACTATTTGAGAATGAGGTTAGAATAAGGTCATATTTTTATATCAAAACAAAACAAAGCAATTTTATTACTAATTACTCTTGTGAAAGACGTTATAAAGGAAATACTTCTATACGAAGAAAATTGAATCCAGAGAAGGAATTTGAAGTATAAGAAGAAATATGAAACAAAGAAATTACCAAGTCATATATGAGGGCTTTGACAAGTGAGATAATAATTGTAATGACTAATTTGGTAGCATTTAAAAAAAGGTGGATGTGTTAGAGAGACGGATCAGTGAATAAATTTTTGCATAAGCTTGAGGACCAAAGTTTGGATGCTCAGAACTCAATTCAAAGTCAGGTGGCTGTGGTGACCTACCTGTAATGCCAGCACATAGGAGGCAGAGCCAGGGAATTCCCAGAGTAAGTTGACTAGTCAAAGTAGCTTAAATGGACGGCTCCAAGTTCAGGAAGAGACCCTCAAAACATGAGGTAGAGAATACCAAGGAAGACATCCAACACCAATTTTGGGCTTCCACACACACACCTACACACACACGTATACCTACATTCACACACATATGCACACACATATATGAATATACATATACACACAACACACTCATGTGCAAAAAGAAATTAGGTGGAGCTAGAGCATCATTGATAGTAATACGAATAATAACTCAAGTTCTTTCATTTGGAAGAAAGGTAGGATATCAAGCCATTTTCCACATTCGAATTTTATTGATAACCATGAAAATAAGGGAAATAAAATGGAAAACTTCTAAACTCGTGAAAGAAAAACACAAAATGAAGAAAACTTAGTCATCAGAAGAAGACAAGGCAGCAGGTAAAAGAACTGTAAATGAGAATAAAGAATACTAAATAGTATGGGAGAAATAACCCAAAAGGTAGATGGTGTCACAATAAATGCAAATTAACTAAATATGCCAGATAAGGCCAAAGTTGGTTAGAATGCACAAAAATGCTAATATGCCAATGTAGATGCAGGATATTTCCCAGGGTCCCACCTCTAGATGGAAAGCTACAGGATGGATGCTGAGGGACAGAGAATCAGTTTTTTAATTCTAGGTGGTCAGTCCTAAACACATGTACATATGAGTACCACTAATTCTCAAAAATAAAAATCCAACATAATAATGTCAGTATAGTTCTCTGCTTGTAGGAGAAACATTAAATCTGTAATAACATACATATTTTGAAAATAAGTCGGTAAAGGTATACTAAATAAGTAATAACCACAAAAAGTCAACATAGTCATTTTAATGTCAGGCATGAGAGCTTAAGATGAAAAGCCACCGATTAGGGGCTGGAGAGATGGCTCAGCAGAGAGGAACACTGACTGTTCTTGCAGAAGACCCAGGTTTGAATCCTAGTACCCTCATGGCAGCTAACAACTGTCTGTAATTCCAGTTCCAGGGGACACGACAGACTCTTCTGTCCTCCATGGGCACTGCACGACATGGATTCACTTACCTTCATGCAGGCATAACATTTATACACATAAAATAAAAATAATAAATAAAATATTTTTTAAAAGCCACCGATTAGATAGGTACAAAGACAAGTAAAAATCTAGATAAAATAAATAATTCATGAGGAAGATATAACTACTCCAAACACACAAGCACTTAATATTGATCAAGGAGAAACTCAGTGGTAGTGGTTGATGGCAAGAGGAAGATATAACTACTCCAAACACACAAGCACTTAATATTGATCAAGGAGAAACTCAGTGGTAGTGGTTGACGGCAATGCCACTGACTGAGATAGGCTATGTTAACAGAATAACATACTTGATAGGGGGAGAGATAATAGGCTTCAGTCTGTCTATATTAATATTGTCTTTAATTTATGGCTATGGATATTTATATCTGGACATGAAAACGGGCTGACCCAGAGGCACCACTTCAAAACTAATCAGCAAATGGATGGCTGTGAAGCCACTGACACAAGTTAATGTGAGCTGAGGTGTTTGGCTTGCAGTGCACCCTCATGTGCAGCAACATCTGAGGAACATGAGGATTGGAACTAGAGCTAGCAGAGAAGTAGAGAAAGACAGTCTAGAGAGGTATCAGGAAGATGACAGATTTGTAGAGTCTTAAGAACCAAGGGATGATACTTCAAGATCAAGCCAACAGTGCCACATGGTGTTCAGAGGACCATGAGTAGGCCTAACATGTTTTTCTTGGATTTTGTGATTTGGATGCTGTTGTTGAAATATTCAAGTTTGTATTTTTGGAGGGTGGCCAGAAGACAGACCACAATAGATTGAGTGGCAAATGGGAAGTGTACAAAAGGAATAAAATGTAGATAGCACTTTCAATCCTA